ATCACTGAGAATGGTATTAGAAACTAAGATGAGTATTTGTATTGCTCCATGGGCAGCACTGCCTTTAGAATATCTCAGCTGACAGTCATCCCTGGGGAATAGTTGAGGAAGGCAGAAAAATTAGAAAGACTGTCTAAAAACATCAGTAACCTAACCAACACACCACACTGTTGAGCTAGTCAAAAGCCTTAGCAGGAATATTGTTGTTCATTAGCTATGATCCCATAGGAATATGATTTTTATATTATCTAACAGTTACAGACATTAACATTGGGCTAGCTTAGTGATTTTCAAACTTTAGCATTAGGAGTATCCCCCAGAGGGCGTGTGAAATACAGAGCCCTGGTCTCTACCCCAGGATATTCTAATGTGGAGGATCTGAGGTGGGGCCCAAACCCAGGAGTTGCCTCAGTTGCCATTCAGCAGCTCCTAGGTTGATAAATCCTAAATAGCACTGGCCCAAAGCCTGTTTTCTCACTGTATAGACAAACCATTTGGTAGGCTGGTGGAAGGACTGAAACCTGCTCAACACTAAAGAATACAAGTAGAAGGAATGAGTCTGGAGCAAAGAGAATATCTCCCTTCTAAATGCAATTGAAATGTTGCTTCTCTCAGTGTGCTACCCTTCCCAGGTTACTGCAGTGGATTAAATTTGTCCCCCCAAAGGGGTTGGAGTCTTGTCTCCCTGTACCTGTAGATGTGACTTTATTTGGAAATAGGGTCTTTGCAGATGACCAAGATAGGATGCAATCCTTAGGCGGGCTCTAATTCAATATGACTAATGAATGTCCTTATAAAAAGGAGAAATTCAGAGGCAGAGAGATTAGGAGGGAGGATCATGTGAAGACATAGAAAGAATACCATTAGAAGCCAAGGAGAAAGGCCCGGACCAAGCCTTGGAAAGAATAAGTGCTGCTAAAACCTTGATCCTAGACTTCCAACCTCCAGAAATTGAGACACAATACATTCCTATTAAGACCTTCAGTATGTGGCAATGTTTTTACAAGAAGTCCATAGAATTACTAGTTCTTGAACAGGCTTTATACATTTTAAGTAAACATATGCATTGTATTATGTCAAAGTTATTTACAGTGATCTAAAGAATATTTTTGATACTCTTGTTATATCAACACTTATAAATAAAAGTCTGTTTAGGGTCATGTCCAAATCAAGGCTGGAGTGACGACAGTGGAGAAGATGATGTGAGGCAGACCACCTCCAGGTACCTGGTGTTGGTGATGCACCTGGAGACTCAAGATACTGAAGTTTTTCATGGTTTTCCTCTTGAAAATAAATTTCCTAGCAGAATTATTTATGAAGACTTAAAAATACAGAATAAAAATATCTTCCATCATCCTTAAACTTCAAAATTATTGTGAGAATCAGCTAGATAGACAGTGCTGCCAATGCTTTAATCTTCTGGGAAGAAAGGGATTATGTAAGTATGTTTGGCCTTTCAACCAAGTACAGATCAAAAATATTCAGGAAAAAAACAGTGCCTGTACTGAACATATAGAGATTATGTTTTGTTGTCATTCATCAAACAATATAGTATAAGAATTATTTACATAGCATTTACATTGTATTCCATGTTATAAGTAAGTAACATAGAGATGATTTACAGTACATGACAGGATACACATAGGTGGTATGCAAGTACCATGCCATTTTATATAAAGGAAATGAGTGACTGTGGATGTGGGCATCTGTGGGATCCTGGAACCAATCCCCTAAGGATACTGAGGGACAACTCTATGTGTTCTTGCCATCATTATTTTGAATTATGAAATTGAAAACAAGGAATAGCATTTGTCTATGAAGACAATGATCTGACAGATCTTCTAAAATGCCAACAGAACACCATGGGTGATCCTCTACCTGGTAAAAATGGCAACCACATTTAGCAAGCAGTTGTGTTTTATGAATATTTATCAGTCTGGTAACACCTCACTAGATGCTGGATATGGCCAGAAAAGTATAGAGACAACAACACGCCCCAGCCATAGGCCCAATGTGATCTCTTGTGTTTGCAGGCTCCAGCTATCCCGCTCGTCTCTCAATATTTTTTTACTCCACAGCAGTGCTGCAGTTACATACAGGAAATAGTCTCATCCACCCTTCCTGCACCTTCCTGCAGTCCTTCATCATGACCAGTGGTTTAAGTTTTCCCTCTGAAAATTGGAATTTAGATAAATGAATAAATACATGGCCATAATAAAATGTTTTATCTACTTTTAAAAGATTATGAAAAAGCTCACCAACACGGCAACGTTAGTCACTTATCATGAAGCTGCTTTAGGGTAAGAATAAGCTCACAGTACCTCCTTTCAGATCTGTCAGGTCTGGACCTGAGTGCCATTAACCTTTAATTTCTAACAGAGAGAGGGACGACCTGGGAATTCCTTTAGTAAGAAGTGGATTATCAGGTCAGAGCTTCCCAAACAGAAACAATATTTCTAAGACCACTCTGGGGATCTTAAAAAGATGATGTGAAGCTAAGAATATTATTAAGAAACATTGAGTAACATGAAATCCACCTGAATTGAATTAATCTTCAGGGTACAAAGGCCAACTCTCGCTACCAGTAGTTAAACTTCTGCAGGTACAGGCAATTTTGTTTTTGTTTTTATACTTGGAGACATGACAACATAAGAATATGACTGACAAATAAGAGAATAATATAAAAAGAGTGCTATAGTTTGGATCTAAAATTTTCCTTAAAGGCTTCTGTGTTAAAGATTTGTTCCCCAGAGTGGTGCTGTGGGAGACGATGAAACTTTAAGAGGTAGGCCTCATTGGGAGGTCTTCACGGAGGGCATGGCATTGAAAAAGTAATAGGACTCCAGATTGTTCTTCTCTAGACTTCCCAGCCATGAGGAAAGCCGTTTTACTCCACCATGTGCTTTTGCCATGTTGTGTTGCCTAATTATTGGCCCAAAATTATGGGGACGATTGATTATAGGCTAAACCATCAACCAAAATAAATCTTTCTCTTTATAAGTTGATTTTCACAGGTACTTGTTACAGTAATAAAAAGCTGATTTACACAAAAGTTATTCACTTGTTTTTACTTCTTTTTCTCCTTTTCTAGTAAATACATATTTTAGTACTAATGAATCCATTTCATGGTTCGAATAATCTGGATCCAGCCAACAATTGACAGCTATCCTCTTGTTAGGTCTGTTATGTTGATGCTGTGATGGTAGATTTATAATGGCTAGCAATGCTTGGAAGATAAATAATGAACATATGGGTGGGATTTTTTTTAATCATCCAAAGGAGGTTTTTGCTTTTTATAAGTATAACCATTAAAACATTTTTGGGGGTTATTATACAAATTATACAAATGTTTATGGTTGTGAAACTTTCTTGGTACTAGGGATTAAACTCAGGGGTACTTAACTGCTGAGCCACATCCTTAGCCTTTATCCTTTTTTTTTTTTTTTTTTTGAGACAGGGTCTTGCTAGGTTTCTTGGGGCCTCACTAAGTTGCTGAGGCTGGCTTTAAACTTGCAATCCTTCTGCCTCAGCCTCCTGAGTCACTGGGATTATAGGTGAGCACCACCACAGTTCTGAAACTTTTGAAGACCATGGATTTAGATCCATTCTAATTTCTTTATGGGTCACAATCACATTAACACATTAATTGTTCAGATGATCAGTTCAACTCCATGGCTCCCTCTGTTGGTCACTTCCTTGAGCTAGTTAGTATTCCTTTACAATTAATTTCAATACCCCTGAGCAAATTGTTTACATTTCCTTTTGTTTAATATCTTCTTGCCAAGAACACCAGGACTTGGCATTTAAATACAGAATAATCCTCTATTTGGTAAAACTCTTGCAACTTTACACCCCACTAGTCTGCAGGTACGGTGCAACCTAGAGTGTTGGAGACTCATAACTGGGAAGAAACTTCTTTAAAACATTTCTTTTCATGCTGCCACAACAGTTCATTTAAGTAAGTTATGATCTTCTTCTAACCCTGTCATTGTTAAATATTTAAATATAGATCCCACAACTTCACCATCATGACAACCATAGGAAATCTTTGGTTTTCTTCTTTGATCAGGTAGCTTTGTCAGGACCATTCTTAATGTATGAATGGATCTCTATTTTGCAATTGTACCAAGAATTTGTAGTGTCCTTCAAGCATATTTACAATTAGTTGTAAAATCTGACACCTTAATCTAGTCATCAATGAAGTAAATTATCATAGGATTTTAAAAGTGAACAAATTACTCATATTAACAAATAATATCTGTAGAGAAGTTGACTCTAACCTTAAACTACACCTGACATCCTGCCCAAATACAATCAGTTGCAAACTAGTGGGCCATAGGAATACGTAAATACCCAAAATGAAAAGCAGACACAAACATAAAACATCAAAATTAAAACATATTAATACGCAAAGTGTCTCTTTTCATCTAATTACATGCTTTATAGTATGCATAAATGATCACTTAATAAAATAAAATTGGTAGGTAATTATTGTGCTCAATCAATTAAAAAAGAAATTCAAAATTTAAGATGAAATGGCCATAAAAAGAAGAAGCTAGAAATAAAAACTCAAATGACATTTCACACCAGCTCCTTTTATTTGCAAGTTCTCAGTGGTGTTTGATTCTTATCATGTATGTGGAAAGTTTCAGAACTCTCACCATTAGTATAATTGGTTTATACAAATATGGTATTGAAAATCTTAGTTAGGTTTATAAGCAATGCAGATACAGTTCCAATTAAAAAGTATAAATCAATTCTAATTATCCCTCTGTCATCCCAATTAAAGCACATAAAATATTCTCACTTTTGAATTAGTTGTTTTGTCTCAGATATCACTTGTATGTATCATGGTCGCCCTAATACAATTAGTTGAAAACATACACATGAAAGGATTCAACATTAAGTTGCTGACTATATATAGCCTTAGACCTCAGGGGGGTAAAAAGTAAGTAAAAAAATATTTATTTGAGAGCTATACCTTTTTAATTAATTCCTACCTGCAGAAGTTGTCACGATTTCCGTGGTGTTTCTGAGGCCCATGAAGTCAAACTGATAAAGCCGCCATGATTTCTGATCAGCTGCCTCAACTGAATTTTTTCTCCATCTATAAATCATTTCTTCTTTTGGGTAGCCATCTAAAAACACAGACCAAGATATCAGCACTTGGAGATGAAGGTTTATAAATCGCTAATGTCAAATTGTAATTCTGCTCACCTTTAAAAAAAATTTGTTCTTATTAGTTACCCATTAGTGTAATGTGTTTTGACATATTATACATATATGGAGTATAACTTCCCATTCTTCTGGTTGAACATTATATGGAATTACATTGATTGTGTGTTCATATATGCATATAGGAAAGTAATGTCTGATTCATTCTACTTCTTTCTTATTCCCATTCCCCCTCCCTTCACTTCATTCCCCTTTAATTCTGCTCATGTAACAGGACTTAAAATTTTAGGTCATGCTTGTTCTCCAGATTTTTTTCAGAGACATGGAAACTCCAAACAAAAGGGTAATGCCACCTAACCCTGGAGCAGATCTTCATGATCAGACAGGTGTTCTTTAGCCACAAGCCTGGCCATTGTCCATGGATGCAGTAAATGGGAGGTCACTGTCTTCATGTCTTAACCTTGGAAAGCCAGTGGCTACACTTGACCTTTCAAGAGTGAAGGTGCCTGTCAATATGTCACTGGCTCTCAGCCACCACAAATCTAACTGCATGGCCCACATTCATCACACCTTTCCCCCTTTCCCAGAATTTTAGGCATCCAGATAAATCCAGGAATGATAAGTTTCATAAGGCAATCACTCCCAGATTCAAGAGATCAGCAGACTCCCAGAGCTTGATATGGTTTAGAGGTGGTACTCCACCATACCATCACTTGGTCTCAGTGTAACAGTACTTTAAGAGGTGGGGACTCATGGGAGGTCATAGGGTATTATCCTCATGAAAAGATTAATGTCTTTCTCAAGACTGGTATGTTCTCTCAAGACTGGTTAAGTCTTGGGGGAGGGAGTCAAGCTTTAAGAGGCTGGATTAGTTAGCAGGAATAGGTTGTTAATAAAAGTGTATCGTCCTGTTTCTCTCACATACATGATTCTTTCCCACACTCCCACCTCCTCTTTCTACTGTTTTTCATGATCTAAAGCAGCATGAGGACCTCACCAGAAGCTGAATAAACAGTGAGGCTATACTCTTAAACCACCAGAACTGTGCTAAATAAATCTATTTTCTTCCAAATGATCCAGCTCCAGATAATTTTTACAGCAACAGAAAACTAAGTCAGTGCTAATATGATTAGTCTCCAGTTTTGATTAGCAAACTTTGACCTCTTCCAGAGAATAATTCCTGTAATGTTAGTTACCCCTGGAAGCAAGATCCTGGTGCTTCTGTTGCCTTAGGCCTAGCACTGGTGACCTTCCTAGAGCTGAGGCATCAGGTTTTGTTGCTCTGCCCCATTTCTGAAGTGTTCTAGGTTTCCATGGCTTTCTAAGCCTGAGCTAGACATCAACTAACTGCCTGCTTCCCTGACTACATTTCTATGTGTGGGTTCCCAACTACGAATCACACTTGGACAACACCATTCACTCTGTTTGAAAAGGCTGACTTGGTATGCATGAATCTTTTAGAAGTTCTGTCTTATCTCCAGGCTCTGCAGCTGGTTCTGCTCAACCCCTCACTCCTAGGAGCAGGCCTCAGTCCTAGTTGTTACCCAACACCCAACAGTATTGGTATTACTGGCCTTTTGCTAATCAATAGACACTGATGTCAGGATTCTGGAAGGAAGAAGTGTTTACACCATTTGTTATCCTGAACACAAAAAGCACTGGTGCACACATAATTATGCAAAAATATTAATAAGTGGTTGAACATTGCTGGTTAAACATTTGTAAAACTCTTACAGTCTACTTTCTTGATTGTTTTCCCCTTTCTGCCTGACATTGTTGGCTCCTTCATTGAAACAGTGAAATGAAACACAGACATACCTCTACTTTCTGTGTGTTACCCTGTCAACATAGCAGGACACTTTATCCTAACTTGATGAGGTGCAGCTCAAGTCTCTCACACTTAGACTGAAGCATTTCTATGTAGTCATGAAACATTTTACTTGGCTATTTGCCATTGTCCTGATTGACTTAAATCCTTAATAGGCTGACATACTTAGAAAAGATACTGTATGTTACAATTCTTTTAAATTTATTTTTTTAAATAACTTTACTGAGATGTAATTCACACATTAAATGTGCACAATCTGGTGGCTTTTAGTATGTTATAAGAGGTGCAACCATTATCATACTCCAAATTGGAATAGTTTTATCCCTCCAAAATCAAACTCCATTAGCAGTGACTGCATATTTCCCCACCCTACACCCACCTTGAAACTCACCTAGTCTCAGGTAATCATTAATATATTTTGTCTGTATAGACTTGTCCATTCTGTTCACTTCATATAAATGGAATCATAAACACGTAATCTGTAATTGGCTTCTTTCACTTAGCCTATTGTGCTCAAGTTCACTCATCTTGTAGCATACATCAGTGCTTTGTTCTTATTTATCACCAAACATTTCATTGTATGAATATACCGTTTTTGTTTATTCACTCATCTTTGACAGACATTTTGGTGGAGTCACTCTTTCATTATTATGAATAGTGCTGTTATGAGCATTTGTGTATCAGATTCTGTGTTGCCATATGTGTTGTTATCTTGGGTATGCACGTAGGAGTAGAAATGTTGAGTCAGCCTAACTCTGTGTTTAACACTTTGAAAAACTGCCAGACTGTTTTAAAAAATAGCTGCACCTTAAAATCCTACCAATGATATAGGAGGGTTCCAATTTCTTCATATTCTCTCCAACACTTCATTAATGTCTGTGTTTTTGATTATAAAATTTGTAGTGGGTGTGAGGTGAGTCTTACTGTTTTTCATTTTGCATTTCCCTAGTAACTGATAATATTGAGTATATTTTCATGGTTCTATTGGCCATATGTGTCTTCTTTTGGTGCTCAGATCTTTGGCTAATTTTAAATTAAGTTGTTTCTATATTGTTGACTTTTAAGAGTTATTTATGTATTTTTGGCTACAAGTCCTTTATTAGATATATGTTTGCAAATATTTTCTCTCATTTTCTGGCTCATCTTTTTTTTAAGCAACTGGATATTTTTATTGTGGTTATTATACATACACACACACACACACACACACACATATATATATATTTACCATTTTAACCATTTTACGTGCACACTTCTGTGCACGTAAAATGGTTAAAATGATAAATTTATAATATATATGTATATTAATATAATTAATTCACATTAATGCATTTATTTGACAATCTATCTTCAGGTTTCCTTTTCTTTTTAATTGACTTTATATACTGGAGAATTTCTAAGTTCACAGAAATCTAACAAAAATTACAGAGATAGCCCACACACCCCTTTCCACTATCAACTTCCTTTATCAGAGTGGTTACACTTGTTAACACATGATGAGACTACAGTGACATGTGGACTCAACCAGAGTCCATAGTTTTAGATTAGAATTCATTCTTGTTGTCTATTCTTTGGGTTTGGACAAAAGCATAATGACATGTATCCACCATTATAATATCCTACAGAGTAGTTTCACTGACCTACATGTCCTCTATGTTTCATTTATTCATCCCACCCTCCACCCTTTACCACTGGAAACCACTGGTATTTTTATTTCCTTCATAATTGTCTTTCTATAATATCATATAGTTGAACTCATAAGTGTGAGGCTATTTCATGTTTGGTTTATTAGTAATATGTATTTAAGTTTCTTTCATATTTTTTCATGGCCTGAATGCCTATTTCTTTTAATGTTGAATAATATTCCATTTTCTGGATGTACCACATTGTATTTATCTATTCTCATACTTAAGGACACCTTGGTTGCTTTAAATTTGGGCAATTATGAATGCAGCTGTTTTAAACATGCATGCACAAGCTTTTGTGTGGATGTAGCTGGTGTTTTGATATCCTCGTTTTCATTTTTGAAGGAAAGATTTGCCAAGAATAGAATTATTGGTTAACAGTAATTTTCTTTTGACAGTTTGAAATGTCATTTAATAGTCTTATGGTCTCCCTAGTTTCTAATGAGAAATCTCTTGTTAATTATGTTTCAAATTACTTGTGATACATTGCTTTTGTCTTGCTGTTTTCAGTTTTTTCCTCCTTGACTTTAATATTATTAACTTGACTATGATGTATAAATATCAATCTCAAAAGTTTATTCAAGTTCCTTAAGTATCTTGGATTAACAGACTGTTTTTGTCAAATTTTTGGTCATTATTTCTTCAAATAATTTTGGGCCTTCAAATAGTTTTGGACCTATTGCCCTGTTCTTGTCTGAGACTTCCATTATGTGGTTGTTGATAGGCTTTATAATGTGCCACAGACAGATATGTGAGTTTCTGTGCATTTTTCTCTATTCGCTTTCCACTGGGCAATTGCTTTCACTGGGCAATCTCTGTTGTCCTATCTTCAAGTTTTCGGATCCTTCCTTCTGTCTTCTCAGATTGTTATTATGCTCAACTAGTGTGTTTTCTACTTTAGACATTGTACTTTTCAATTCCAGAATTTCTATTGGGTTCTTCTAAAAGTTGTTTGTCTTTTCACTGATTTCATTTATTTTGTGAGATATTTTGTCATACTCTCATTGAATTCTTTAGACATGATTTCTTTTAGTTATTTGAGTGTATTTAAGCTAGTGGATTTAAAACTTTTTTCTAATATATCAACGTCATGGATTCATCAGTGATAATATCTATTACAGGACTTTCCCCTATGTATGTGCCACATGTTTTTTTTTGTTGTTATTGTCGTCATGTTTTGTAAATATTTTGTTGTGAAGTAAACATTTTAGAAAATATATTTTGATAACTTTGATATCATATCCCTTCCTGCATTCCAGGGTTTTTTGTTGTTCCTGGGGTTTGTTTATATTGTTTTTCTTCCTGCTTCTTATTTGCTAAGTGATTATCCCAGACTGATTTTGTAGATTCTAAACTCCAATGAATGTCCACTGATTTTTGGATAATTGATGTTATTGCTTTTACATTATTATTCTCATTTTTAAGCCTGGGCCCATTTGATTTACCCATC